AGACAAGGAGCTGGCTGCAGCTTCCTAGCAACAGCAGTCGCTTAGCAGGCCCCATGCGTGTGATGTACAGAGGCTCCTTTAAAAGGCCCTGCTGTGGAGCCAAGCACTTGAGTGGGCCTGTAAGCAGCTGGTACACTACTGCTAGAGTCTAAGTAGAAACGCCTGCCCCCACCATAGGCCCAGAGCAGGGGCAGGTAGATGCTCCTGGCCAGTGCCCACAGGCAAAAGAAGGGCAAGCAGTTGCCGCAGACCAGAACCAGTGGGGTACCCGGCAGGACAGACCGGAGAGGGGAGCCAGCTGCCAGTGTCGTGTGCTAAGTGGAGCCACAAGGAGCTTGCAAATGCACCCAAGGACCCAAGGAACATTTGCTGGAGCCATGGTGCGCAGACCCCCCATTCTCTCTGGCAAGCTTGTGAGTGAGTGCTCAGTGTATAAGACCATCTCTTCCTGTTGGGTAGGTTGTGGTGGGTGACCTGGCCCTTTAAGGCTTGGCTCACATGGTCAGAGAATGGTTACAGGAATGCAGAAAGCCAGCTCCAGACCAAGAAAACCTCTGAACAGGTACTGAATGCTTGAAAATGTGCTTAGGGGCTGAAGAAAAAAAAGAAAATGGCTATAGACAGTCACAGGAAAAAATAGTTTGAAAATAGTAAAGTGAAGTTCTTGAGAACAAAATAATATAAAAAGAACAAGCCACATAAGGAAGGAAATATCATAACATAGGGCATTTGAACCCTAAATAGTGCTACAATAGATGGTTTAAAAATAGAAACATAAAATGAAAAGATAAATGACTTAACTGAGATTGGTTACCAATATAATTACTATCATCCTGGTATTTCATATTCTTTTCTTAATAGCCACAGTGGCTTTCTGTGCCCTCTCAAAGAAAAAAAAATGCTTTAGAAATAGAGGAAAAGAAAAATATAAAAGGTAGATTGATAAAAGACATGCCTTAGAAGAAAAATTAGAAAGTCTTATAAATAAAAATGAGAATGGTACTAAGACAGAGACAGAGGGATTAAGACAAGGGCCTGCCACACCACCATATAAGGAAATAAAAGAAGGTTAGCCAAAAGGTGTTAGAAAGCCAACTTCGCTTATCCGGTTACTAGGACGAAAGTTACAGGTACTAGAACAGCTTGTTCAAGAGCAACTGGAAGCTCACCATACAGAAGAGTCCACCGGCCCCTGGAGTCCTCCTGTATTTGTCATTAAAAAGAAACCTGGGAAATGGAGGATATTAGCAGATATGAGAGCAATCAACAAAGTCATTCAGCTTATGGGTTTCTTACAACCTGAATCCCTTTAACTTCTTTATTACCTAAGGCATGGCCTATCACAGTAATTGATTTAAAAGATTGATTTTTCACAAACCCTTTGCATGAACAAGATAGAGAAAAATCTGCTTTCACAATTACTTATAATAAGTCTCAACCTGTTAAAAGGTACCATTGTAGGGTCTTGCCACAGAGAATGTTAAAAGTCCTACCTTATGTCAACATTTTATATAACAGTCATTAGAAATAATTAGTATATAGCTTCCTCAATCTATAATTTATCATTATATGGATGATATCTTACTGGCTAATTCAGATGCAGATATCTTAGAAAAAAAAGTTTGATGAAGTAAACAGAATTTTGCCTTGTTGGGGATTACAAATTGCTCCTGAAAAAATACAAAGAGGAGAATCTATTAATTATCTAGAATACAAGATAGGTTTACTAAAAATTCAACCACAGAAGGTATAAATCAGAAGAGATCAATTACAAATTCAATGATTTTCAAAAATTGCTGGGGGATATTAATTGGCTAATACCCACAATTGGATTGAAAACCTAAGAGCTAAACAATTTATTTCAAACCTTACAAGGATTTAAATAGTCCAAAGAAATTATCAGCTGATGCTGAGAGAGAATTGGCTCTGATAGAAAAGAAATTACAGGATGCACAAATGGATTCCTTGGATACAAAGCTTGATTGTATTTTAGTTATTTTGGCTTCTATTCATTTTCCCACAGGAATTCTTATTCAGAGAAAAGATAATATCTTAGAATGGATATTTTTAGCACACAGAGTAAAAAATTAAAGACTTATGTAGAAAAGCTTTCTGAATTGATTCTGAAAGGAAAAATGAGTGTCAATTAGCAGGAATGGACCCAACAGAGATTGTGGTACCTTTACTAATGCTGAAATTTCCTCATTGTGGGCAGAAAATGGGTAACAAAGAGCTTGCAGTAATTTTATGAGAGAGATTAGCAACAAATATCCCAAAAGCAAGAGACTTCAGTTTATAAAAAGAACTAATAGGATCTCCCTCATATAGTAAAAAGGACACAAATTCTGTTGCTTCTACATTCTATACTGATGCAAATAAGTCAGGAAAGGCAGGTTATAAGTCAGAAAAAATAAAGTGGCTCAATGTACATATACTTCAGTTCAAAATCAGACATATGCTATTCCCAAAGTATTATTAGATTTTCCAGAACCTCTTAATATAGTCACTGACAATATGCAGAAAGTGTTGTTTTACATATTGAAAATGCTGAACTTATTCCAAATAATTCAGAATTAACTTTGTTATTTATTCAACTACAACAAGCAATCAGAGATAGAAATCATCCATTGTATATAATATTTATCAGATCCCTTATGGGACTACCAGGCCCTCTAGTACATGGTGATGATAAAATTGATCAGCTATTAATAGGAAATGTGCTGGAGCAATCAGAATTTCATAAGAAACAGCATGTTAACAGCAAAGGTTTGAAGAAGATTTTTCTATCACTTGGCAACAAGCCAAAGAAATTATAAGGAACTGTCCTACTTGTTCTTTGTATAACCAAACTCCATTACCTGCAGGAAGTAACCCAAAAAGTACCCAAAGAAATGAAGTTTGATAAGTGGATGCATTTCATTTTGCAGAGTTTGGAAAAGTAAATATGTACACCATGTCATAGATACATTTTCTGGATTTGAACAGGCAACAGGTTTAAGTTCTGAAAAGTCTGATTCTCTAATTATGCATTTATTAGAAGTTATGATTATTATGGGGATAGCTGTACAAATTAAGACTGACAATGCTCCAGCATATATGTCTAGTAAAATAAAACAATTTTTTTGCATATTACAACATAAAGCATATTACAGGTATACCACTCAGTCCTACAGGACAAGCAGTTACAGAAAGATCTAATCATACTTTAAAAGAGATGCTCAATAGTCAGAAAGGGGTAATAAAGATCCTCCAGGGATAGATTACATAGTGCCTTACTAACTTTAAATTTTTTAATGCTAGTGAACAAAAAACATCAGCTGCTGAGAGACATTAGATTGTGGGGGAAAAAACTGCTGAATTAAATCAGCCTATATATTTATGTTTTGTGTTGAGGGAAGAGGTCATGCCTTTGTTTCCACAGGAAATGAAAAACTAAGGATTCCTTCAAAATAAAGATCAGGTTTGACTGGGGAAGATCTCCTGAAAATCTTGGCTGCAGACATGAAGGAAGAAACCAAGAAAAACTACAAGACAGGTTATGTATGTGCTGATCCCTCTCATACAGCTCTGAGACTTGATGAGACATGATAAACCTTGTTAGCTACAAAGTCCTTATGACTTATTAGTATATGCCATCCTTTCAGATGGCAGAGATGGAGATTTATACTACAGTTTGGTTATGCGGTTTAAACAGACTCTTAAAGTTGACAGATGTCTTACCTGCTCAAGTATAAAGCAGAGAATCATCTTTAACTGACTTGTGCACACTGCCATTCCATACTTGTGTTTATGCAGATATGTATGTGACCTTTGAAAGTCTGTGTGTTTTCAGAACAAAAGGACCAGATACCAATGAAGATAAGACAAGTAGCCCAGGTGATCTAGCCTCTCAGAATGCCTCTGTTCCATTTCCTCAAAAATCTGCATGCACGACAACTTCAAAGCAGCTAAGATGGTCCAGCCTCACAGACTACTCCATCCAGGACTTCAGTTAAGCCCTGCACTTTCCCATCACACAGAGACCAGACAACAAATGATACAGCTAGCTTTCCCACCACTTGACTATTATCCAAATTTTCTCAGGGTCCCCTAAAGATGCTGTCACCCCCAGACAAAAGGAAGCAAGTTTATGAACAGGACACCCACATTCCTGACAGGTGGGGTGGGTGGGTTCTGGTCATTCAGTGGGTTATGGATGTTCGTTGTCATTTAGAGGGGGTGGTTGCAAGCTGTTATTGGTCATGGTCAGAGAGGAAACTAAGCAAAGGAGGTTAGATTAAGGGATCTCTTTCTTTCTTTTTCTTTCCTTTATCTTTCTTTCTCCCCTATCTAGTGTTTGGGTGGGGGAAGAGGTGATGGGGGGTAAGGGATAAACAGAAATAAAAGTGATTTAGAAATAATAGAATAAAAGGGTAGATTATTGAATCTGCTTTTAAACTAAAAAGCAACTGCTAGTCTCAAATGTTTTACATTGGTATGGATTTTTGTATGCTAATACAAATTTAAGGTTGTTTTTGTTGCAACAGTGGTGGTCTGTGAAATAAGGCCTATAGAAGACTAGGTGCCTTTGGTTGAGGAGATGCAGCAGCTCAGCTCTCTTCACGGGCTTCCTGACCAGAGGAGTGTGTGAAGCATGCTGCCACCCTTGCTCTAGTAAACTGTTCAGCTTTGGGAGTGCTCACACCCCCCATACTTAGTTTATAGATTCTTGCATCTTCTTATCTATCTACCTAGACTGAGTGCATGGTAAAGCAGGCTTTCAGGAGAAGCATGTTCCTATCCTGGGTATGCCCAAGCTAGGCCTGCTTGTTCTGTATGTGTATTCTACTTCCCCTGCTTGCTCTCATTAGTTTCTGGGTGCTTGATCTTCTATGATGTCCAATCTGAGCTCTTCTGTTTCCGGAGCACAAGAACCCAAACTGCTGCTGGGTGGAGAGCAGAGGGAACTGGAGCCCTCTCCATAACACTTGTGCTCAGTCTCACAGGCTCCAAGCTCCTACCTGGATCCTGGGTATTCGGGGCTCTTGGAGACAGGACAGGATCTCTTCCCATTTGCTGCTGCCCTGCACTTGGATGTCAGGTGGAAAGGCCACCTCCTCTGAAGGGCCTGGCACTCTCCACGGCAGGAACAGTCTGTAAGTGATAAAATGTTTGGCTGAAGAAAACCATAAATCCCGAGACTAGACTCTCTTGTTGTCATTACTCAACTGATACTGGTCAGCCACATTCATATCTCAGAAAGAACTGTTTGTTGAGACAGGCAGTTTCTCAAGATATCCCACTTGACCTGAGCAAAAGAGTCCCCAGAAAGGAGGTCGTGAAGACAGACTTTCTTAGGACTGTTTTAGCCTGCATGTACCCTCCACAGCTCTATCAACTTCTTTATTCCTAAGCTCCCTACCCCTACTTAAATAAGAGTCCTGACCAGCTCCCTCCTTCTTACAGACCTTCCATTCCTACAGGAGAGAGTCTGCCCCTTGGTATGTGCTCTAAGAAGAACAGCCTATCTGTTGAGCCTATCTGTTGACTCTTTCCTGACTTTTGTTTCTGTATCCTGCATTCTAAATCTAACATTTGGTGCCAAAACCTGGGGAGCTTCTGGGGCTGTCACCCACTGGTGGCTCTTGGTCTTCCTTCTTAATTTGCCTTACTGCCCTTGTCTACCCTTGGGATCCATTCCTTCAAGAGCAGACACACCTGGTGATCTCAATATAAAGACTAAACAGCCACCAGTCTACCTGAGAGCTCTGATCTTTTGTCCTCTGCCTCTGTGAACAGGTCAAGTTCCCCATTCAGTCTCTGGTTCTTTGGGTTTTGTTGGAGCTCTGTGTAAACACAGCTCATTTTCTTGGGAGAGGGCTACACTGCTTTTCTACCTTCCTATCATTGTCTCTACCTCTGCTTCTCTCACTTTTCTTCCTTATCACAGTTGTCTGGCCTCTAGATAAGTGGCCATTTTCCATTTGACCAGACCACACATCCAACACAGCTAACAAGTTAGACAGAGCAGAATCAGAGGTGCTCTGTTAGGTCTCTGGAACTCCAGGAGTCCCTGCATCGCATCTTGAGACTCACTCAGTTGACAGTTCTGGGAACTTTGCACAGGATTCACAGTCTCTTGACTCCTGGAAGGTACAATTCAGGAGCAGTCTCTCCTACTTTCCACATGTTCAATTAATCCTTAAACTCAAGGGATACCTCAGTGGCAGAATTTGACTCCCATTTTTTACCTTGGTCCCACACCTGCTATGGGTTCCAAATGACCTTTGCATCCCTTTAACCTTACCTTTCACCCTAAGGTACTCAAATTAGGAGAACTGAGGCCTCTTTGTGATGACTCTTTGCTTCTCAAAGCAGGTTTGGTCTCAGTATTCACTGGATAACAACCATTGGCTAGAATTCTGAACTGTGGATTTTAGTATCTTAACTGATTTACTTCATAAAACAGGATGGGAAATGGTCTGGGGTTCCCCCATATAACCCCATCTACACTTTCTGCTACCCTACCTCCACGTCTCTTCTCTATCTTCCTTCATGCCTGTCCTTTCTAAACCAAATTTGCTTAACACTCTCTCCGATCTGGTTCGTCTGGCGGATACAGCCCTGCTACCAAAGCAGCTGTCAACATTCCTGAGAACACCTCAGAGAAGTGGAGCTGCCGTGAGCGAGTGCAGAGCAGACGCACTGCAAGGCCCATTACCTCAGCCTGTTCTCTCTAGGACCATTTTCCTGAGGTAAAATGTTCTTTCCTCCTCAACCCACTTTGTTCCACACATGACTGTCTTTGTTTCTGCCCAATATAAAAATATGACTACTAAAGATCTCTAAATTAAGTTTCTCCTTCACAATAAAAATTATAAAAATATAATTGCAACAAACAATAATGTTCAAAATCTTAGCTTATTAAAACATGCCTTATATGTGATTAAATATAGACAAGCTGTCTGTTACATATCATTATGGTTTGTTTCTTTACACCTTGTACTTAGTACCAAATTGACTTAGTAAATTTTTAATGCTATCATGTATCATGGTATTAAGAAATAAAGCCAGGCGGTGGTGGCGCACACCTTTAATCCCAGCACTTGAGAAGCAGGGCCAAGAGGATCTCTGTGAGTTCAAGGCCAGCCCGGGCTACCAAGTGAGTTCCGGGAAAGGCACAAAGCTACACAGAGAAATCCTGTCTGAAAAAAAAAAAAAAAAAAAAAAAAAAAAAAGAAAGAAAGAAAAGATAGAAATTGTTTAATTATAAAAAGATTTGTGTATGAAGATTAAGCTTTTGCAAGTTATGAAGGTCCGAGTAAGTAATTTAAGATGCATAAAGGATAAGACTTAAAGATAATATATATGGTATTAAAATTTCTTAAGGTCTATCAACAGCAATTTCAAAAACTGGCTAAAATATAAGTCTCATTAAAATAGCAAATACTAGAAGTAGTGGACTTCTAGATGTTAGGAACCATCCTTGAAGGCTATTCTAATATAGTCAGAGGGACTAAAAGGGAAAATAGTTCTCCCTCTTCCTCCAAGGTCAATGAGGTCCCAGAGGTCCGTGGTCATCTCTAGAAATGTTCTGCAACTGGGAAAGACACCCGTTCTCTTGTTCAGGAGGCCATGGAGACCCCATTCAATGAATTTAACCAGATCCAGTCTACAAAGAAGAGGGTCAACACAGAGGAATGATCTCTTCAGTGCTTCCAGAGGAAGGCATAGCCAGGATGAGGAAAGCCTTTGGGTTATCCTCACATAGATAGACAACTGGTAAAGAAAGGCTCAAGAGAGTCAGGTTCCTCAAAAGCCCCAGTGGTCCCTGAGGACTGGATCTTCAACTGGCCTAATGGTACAAAAACTAAAATTAATTTTGGCTATCTAGATAGTCTTAAGTACCCAGCAGGAAAATATAACCAAAATTAAAATAATGTTCCTTTAACAATTCAAGGGACTGCTGTTCTGTGACATTATACTTAGCCACATAAAATGTTATATGTGGATAACTATTTCCTACTAATGATTCTCTTACACATGCACACACACACCAGAGCTCAGATATAGGACAAGACCTTAGCTTCCATCAGTAACCACAGTGTCTATCCACAACTAAAACAAAACAAAAATAAACCATTAGAAAAAACCAGGCCTATCTTCTTAAATGCTGAGGCCAAATCTAAAAGCTATTCTAAAAGAGAATACCAGCTCTTCCTGGAAGCATACTTCTCAAAGCTGCAATAGGTCCTTCTTCACCTTAACTATCCTGTTTGGATAGTCTGATTAAAGAAGACTGCACAATACTCTGTCACCAAACTCACAGGTTTGGAAAATTAACCAGAATATCCAAGTAGTATCCTTGGAACATTACTAGGCAATCCTATAATAATGTCTTGGTAAGATTCTACTTCTCTTGTAAATCATTGATTACATGCAAAGTCCTTTACCTTCTACTTTTTAATTCCTATGTTCAGGCATTCTATGTTCTTACACTTTAATGTAAATTTTAGGGTTAGCTTGCCAAATTTCCACTCCCCCAAGCATCTGCTGGGATTTTGAGGGATCTGCACTGAATACAGTTGACTCTGGGGAGGATCAATGTCTTCATGGTCCCCAGCATCCTTACCTACAGCTTTCCTTCCTCTCTGCAATGCCTCACCTCCAAATATCTAATCCTTTTGTGAATGAAACTGTATAATTATTTCCTTTTCATATTTTTGTTGGTTTACAGAAATATAATTTTGGTAGAAATACTATTTCCTATAAACTTAGGACTGTTTATTGGTTCTAGTATGTTCTGTTTTGTTTGACAGGTTCACCATTGTTTTCTACATAGAGACTCATGTACTCTGGGACTCGTCAGTTCTAGGTGCATTCCAATTTGGATGACTTTAATTCCTCCTCCCTTTCTTCTCCTTCCTTCATTCCCCTGCCCTTCCTTATACTCTTCCTACTTTTTCTTCTTCTTCCTCTGTCCATTCCCTTTTCATGTGGAGACCACATATTTATAGAATTTCCTGTGTACATCGTGTGTGTGTGTGTGTGTGTGTGTGTGTGTGTGTGGTGTGTGTGTGTGTGTGTGTG